GTGAGGCTATTGGCCTTGACCTAAGGTGTTAATTGTTTTGCAGGTGCATTTTTGTCCAAGAAGAAGAAGGCGGAAATTTGCATCCACAAATTGGTGCTTTCATTGAGAGTCTTGATCAAAACACTCAAAAAAAGACTCTCGCATTCAAGGTTTTTTCGTTTTCTTGTTCATTTGTAGATTTTTCGTACGTTATTATTCTTGGAATTTTGATTTATAAAAATTCTTAAATAAAACGTAAAAGAAAAGTACAATGACTAGAAACTCGGAAACTACAACGAACGAAACTTTCTATGTTCAAGGATTTGGACCACAACGATCCACGAGGCTAAACACAACAACAAGTAGAGCGGTACCTCCACCACGAGGCCCCACTCAACCGCATCAGTTGCTATCGGTAAGGCTCACAGCACCAAGCCCTCGACCCAAGCCGTGCCACTTCAAGTTTCAAGGGCCCAAGCCATAATCAAGCCAGCCCGACCCACTTAAGCTCAACGCGTTGCCAAGTCGAGCCCTAGCTTCGCACTCGCGTGCGCCGCATATGATCCAACCCATTCCTATGCCCTAACCAACTTTCGTGGTGTCCCAATTTCCCAACTCAAATCTTGCACCTAAAGTCTGCCTTACTTCCACTACTCAAGGTGACACATTATGTCCAAACTCCTCCAACCCAAACGAAGAACAACACTTGTCTTGACAAGTCGTAGAGTTAACAAGCACCCTCGCATAACAGACGACCTTGGTGAATCAGCTCTTGCAGCACACCGAGATGCAACGTGCCCCAAATGAGGTGTCCCGAAGTAGGACAAAGGTAGACGAAGAACTTCTCCAGCAGCGTCTTGGCAAACAGCCACTTGACCAGCCACGAACTTAGTGTTCGGCCAGTGTACATTCTCGACTGGGCCCCCGAGATAACGTATATTCTCGTCTTAGTGTGCGGAGAAGCGTGCATTCTCGACTAGGCCCACAGATGAGCATAAACTCACGGTTGAGGCCACACTTCGATAGTCAACATGAGCAACCCTCCAGGCGAAGTGTTTATTCGCAGCTAGGCCCGTAAGAAGCATTCTCCTCCTCACATCGGAGTATGCAACACGAAGGACGAAGATAAGCAGTCACTCAATCTAGCTCAAGTTCAACCGGCAGCCAACGAAGAATCCCCTCGCCTGTTAGGAACGAACGACAATATAAATAATTATCATGTTATTGTTTTATACAATATAAATAATGCGTGTTATATTTCAAACTCTCGAGTCTTAAGATATTTTGTGTCGTGTTTTTTTTTTGTTTGTATAATTATCATGTTATTGTTTTACACAATATAAATAATGCCTATTATATTTTCTTACGAAACTAAATGTGTTTTAACTGCACCTAATATGTTAATCATGCATTTGGTTATATCTATAAGTTTTTTTTTTTTTTTTGTTGCTTACTTTGGTAAAGATGATTATCTAAGTTGCGATTTAACGTATTGTCAAAGTATAATCAGTAGTAATAATGGTTAAATATTCAATCAATTATTGCTCATTGGTTCAAAACTTTCGTTTGTCTTTCTTTATGCTTTTGTCTTCCTTCGACACTTGCTTTCACAATTTAATAGGATAAGAAACAAAATTTTCTGTGTCACCATATGAAAGGAAACCGAAATATTATGGTTGGCCCCTCTACCAGCAATATGGTTGGTGGGTCACCTCTGTCACCATATGAATGTTTCTCAGACATGGTGATGCAGTTTCCTGGTTAATTTCCAAGTCTCCCTCCACAGTCAATTGAACTTTATTTGTTTATCCTACCTTGCTTGATCACCAACATCGTAAGAGAAAATCCAACTTTGTAATGCTTGTTTTCTGAATATCTTTATTTTGGGTTCCAAATTTAAGAGTGTCTCACTTTTTCATTATCATCCATTCAATCTAGAAAATAAATTGAGTCAGGGGTCTCTTTTCATTAATTTTTAATACTTCCTCTCTTCTGTATTCTTTTATTATCTTTTTTATTATTTAATAAAATTCAAAGATAGGGATTGGGAACTGTTGTTTTATTGGGAAATTATCTCTTCTAATCGTTCTTAACGAAAATTATGTAACCTACTTTATAGTTGATGGCTAATCTCAAAATCTTGGTTCTTTTTTACTGTCTTGTGCTGATGTAGAGAGTAAAGCTACTATTTTGTGTTGCCGTCCACAAAATTGGAAAAATAAAAAGATGCAGGCTTCATCCTATCAAAAATACAAGTTGCAGGATAATTTTAATTTAAAGTTTAAATTATTTCAAATATTATTTTTATTATATTAAAATTTATCTTTGGATCATTGCATTGTAATTATGCTCTTGTCGGAGGTCATGAGTGTGATATTTTGGTTAGCGGAACCTTCTTCTTGATTAGTCAATGGCAAAGTCAATATATTCTTTTCGGAGTTTCCCACAAAACGGGTTTGCAATTTGTTCTTTTCGGAGTTTCCCACAAAGCAGCTTTGCAATTTGTTTAGTAGGTCAATAAGGTAGGTAAAAGTAATAGTTACTGTATTCAACTCAATAAGGTAGGTCCCGCGTTTATCACATTTTCAATTTAAAAAAGGATTAGACAATCAAGGTCATAGAAAACATAAAATGATATGATCTCAAAACCTCTTGGTGTACTATGAGAAATTAGAAACTCGTGATCCCTTTTGAAACTCATTTTAAACCTAATGGGTGTAAAATGTAGTTTGTCCTAAAGTTAACATACTAGAATTTATATGAAAGCAGAGAACATGAAAAATCTGATATGAAATGTCAACAAATATGGCGTACCGAAATAGCCTGGAACGGCACAATAATGACAAAAGAAACATAAGTTCATAGCGCATAAGTTACTAATGCCTTAGCTTCTTTCGGTGCAGCTGCTAGTGCCTATAACCGTTGGACCACTATTCTAGATTTTGTGGTTATCGCTTATACTCGTGACCTTGAGTTTCGTCCTGTTTTTCATTATTGTTGTTTGTTTTTTTCTCTTCGAGGGTTTAGGTTGCGTTCCCACGCCTATATTCTTTTACTATTGTTTTTATTATTTAATAAAATTCGGAGATAGGGGATTGAAGGATGTTGTTCTATCGGAGAATTAGCTCTTTCTAATCGCTCTGAGTAGGAAGGAAGTAACCTACTTTGTTGTTGATGGCTAATCCCGATGTCTTGGTTCATTTTTACCTCATTGTGCTGGTTTAGAGAGTAAAGCTATTATTATAATCCGATGACCAAACCTTATATATAGTGTAGTTCGACTCGCCTAATCCATTTTCATCCTTCTAATCCAAAAAAAAAAAAAAAAAGAGTGAAGTCAACGGTCCCTTTTTATTGATTTTTATTTCTTCATTTGGCAATAGGATTATTGGAGTTGATTAACATGCTTGCAATTTTAAATTATGTTAGAGATGATTTAGAATCTGTCATTGTTTTGTTCACATCCAAAATTGGATCTGAAATCTTATTTGCTCCTCGCAAGCTACAAGCAAGACTCATGAGATGATTCAATATGTGAGAGAGGGTATAGTTATTTTTTACACAAGGAAAGCCCTGCCCTCCGGCAGCGGTCGGAATTTCAAAAATTCTTATACAAGCAGGTTTTCGACTCGTTTCTTATTGTTGGCTGCATATTGTGTTCCAACTTTTTACCCAGTATTGGAGCCTATAACTGGGCGTTTGATGCTCTAGTCATCACAATGTTGTACGTAAATCGCCAAATGAAATAGTTCTGGTTCTGGTAAGCACCATAACCTATCCGAATCAACGGAGTTGCTGGCCAAGTGCATTGTTTATGATTGAATTATTAATTATGTATAGTAATTAACCTAAGTTAAAAGAACATATTTTCAATCACTACTGTGGGAGAGTTCAAGTTTGTATCAAATTGCAAATGCAAATTATTTCAGAGCACATATATTAGCAGAATTTATCTTGCGCACATATATATATTTTTGTTTTTTCATAAACGAACAGTTGAGATTGACAGCAAAGCTCATCTCTGATGTGCACCGAGATTGCAAAACAACAAAAATGTATCGGCCCTGGTTCATAATATGGGCTAAATTTTTTTGGCGCAAATTAGATTTTGGTTGCAGTTAGAGTATTTTCAAGAGAAATTTTAATTTTTTTGTTTTTGTTTTTATTTTTTTGGAACAAACGATATTATCTACACTAAAAGGGGAGGAGGTGGGCTAAGCCTCACAATGAGCTAGCAATAATGTGGTTCAAATTCGTTTTTGGCGAGAATCAAACCTAATACCTCTTACTTACAAGTGAAGAGAATTATCACTAGACCGTAATACTAAGTGGCTAAATTTTTGTTAAACTAACAAGTGAACAATTTCACAAAACTAATTCAGCTATTCAGTTGAACTTTTTATCTCCAACAACACTTTGTATTTTAACAAGAATATTTTATTATTAACAATTTAAACAAAGCCCACTCAATGTACTCATTTTCTAAAACAACCTTTTGATTCTACCCATTTTCTTCGCGCAAAGGTCCACACTTGAGTTTTATTATTTTTTTAACATTTAGCAAATGAATTGTTGCACTCTAAAATTAAAGAGTAGTTGTTTATTTTACTATCATAGAGATTCTCACTTGAAGATGATTTTTTTGGTTTGACTATTTATAATAAAATTTGGATTGTCTTGCAAAAAAAAAAAAAAAAAAAAAAAAACGAAATCAATTACCAAGTGTGAAGATGACTTTTTAGAGTTTGAAAATATTTTAGGAGTCAAAAAAAACTTTATTGGGTAAAAATTTCCTCTACTTTTCCTAGTTCTTTCCAAGTATAAATATGTCATGAAGGGCAGAGAATGGCCATGAAGAATGATGAACTAAACTGCCTCTTTCCCTGAACTCTTTTTTCCCTTCCTGTACAGTTTTCTTGTTGAAATTGCGATTCTCAGTCGGCCTGAGCCGACTGGGTGTACTATACAACGCGCTTCAACTCCGAAATTTCTATCAAGCTTCAATGGTAAGTATTTCTATGCTAAAACTCAGATAGTTTCGAGAAGAAAATTTACTTATTGTTTATCCTATCTTGCTTGATCACCAACGACGTAGGATAAAGTCCAACTTTGTATTGCTTGTTTTCTGAATCTCTTTATTTTGGGTTCCACAGTTTCTAATCTGTTATTGTTTTGGGAAGTGACTCAAATCCAATATCGAACAAGTTTCGGCCAATTTCCCTGTTATTTTCTGTCGTCGTACATTTTAGATTGAAACTTTTGTAAGTTTTTTCTGATTTTGGTGTTGGTTTTTGTTGTGAAGAATCAAGGAATGAGTGGAGCAGGCGGCCTTATCGGCGGGGCTGCTCTCGGAACAGCGTTCAATGTGCTGTATGATGTCCTCGGTAAGCTGATCACCAAGAATGTAATGTTTGCACCCCACCTCAAACTCATCAAATCCAGATTAGACTCTTTGGCACCATTGTTGAAAGATATAGAAAAATCCAACAAGAAATCGGATCTGTCGGATGAGGAACTGGGAAACTTGAAAGAAGAGTTGGAGAAGGGCATACAGCTCCTTCGAAAGTGCGAAAAGACTCAATGGTGGAGCGTAGCAAAAAGGTACAAATACACCAACAAGCTGATTGAATGGGATGAATCTCTTCAACAACATTTGAAAATACTAAACGTTGAGGGAATAAGGGATGTGAAGGACACTGCAGTTACGGTGAAGACTATAGAGGAGGCGGTCAGAAGAATTGAATTGAATGAGAACACCATTGTAATTTACCCTTTCTTGTCTTGGCTCAAAACAAAAATTTTCTTCTCATATTGGTTTGTCATTTTGTTTGTCAGATAAACATATAAGTAATTTTGGGTTATCACAACTCATAATTGCAGGGTCTCTATAATTCAAGTTCCAGTGGGTCAGTTACACTAGACATTGGTTCCCAAGATGTAAATGATGAGGTCTCTGAGCACCGCCACAAGATGAGGGTATTGGTAAAGAATAACTATAATCAAATTGGCATTTATTTATCTTTGGGAAGGTTCTTTGCTTTCACATTTTAAAGTAAGAATTTAATTGAAGTTTGTATAACTTCTTCTGCAGGCAACTTCATCAGAGTGGATCCCGTTACTCACTAACCTTGGCCTAGAGATTCTGTCTGCTGCTTTTGATCAGGTTTCCTCCCCACGTAAGCCTCACTATGCACTAATTGGTATGCTGTTGGCAATTGTGGCTATGCTTGCTTGCATCTGGGAGCTCGTTCACAATGGTATAAAGGAGGGAGTTGTATTGAGGAGGAAGGGAAAGTTATGGTGGTTTTATTATCCATCTCCAAGTAACATGCTTTATGGTACATTCCCCAAAATGTTTGGATTACTTCTTGCCATTGTTCAATGCATTTGCTCAGCAGTGCAGTATTATTACCTCTGTCGGCATGCTACTAATCCTATAAAACTGTCCCCTGTGCCTGTTGTATTCGTTTTCTGTTTGGTTGTTTTAAAATTAGTTGAGCATCGGAGGTACACCGTTGATGGCACCCTTGAGAATCGTGCTTAAACCAAAGACAGAGACTAGATTTGAGTGAACTCAAAAAATGATTCTCAAAGAATAAGATCGACCGGCAGAAGGTTTTCTTAGCATGGAAGCATGCCTTGAAGCTGTTTAACGTATAATGAAAGCTCATATATAGCTTCTCTGTAGAAATAGAGGTCCCTGTTCAATAAATACATTCTGCACATGAGTGCGTGCTTGAAGACTAGTTAATTGTGAAAGCAAGGTTCGAAAGGAGACAAAAGCATAAAGACAAACGAAAGTTTTGAACCAATGAGCAATAAACGATCAATATTTAACCACAAACCAAAGAGCAATAAATGATCAATTTTTAACCATTATTTCTACGTTGCAGGAAACTGCTTATAGTCGAGCACTACCGATCATATTTTGAAAATTTTAACTTTGCAATATCCACGATATCATGTGTAGTAGCATATACCTGGAGAAATTTTTTAATGTGACCGGAACACGAGTTGGTACATCACGTGTCACTATACTAATTGTGAGATATATGTGCTAAAAAATTAATAACTTAAAAAAGACAATTTCCCATCACTTATATAAAAACACGTGATGTATCACCCGTGTTCCGAAATTTACATTAAGAATAGAGAAAATAATATTTAATAAACAACTGATTTAATCACATTATTGCTAGCCCATTGTAAAGCTAAGCCTACCCCCTCCCCCTTTTGTCACATCCCGACTCCGCCGTAGCACGATACTGTCTGCTTTGGACCACGCCCTCACAAATTTGTTCTTGGGTTTCCACCCAAAACACGTCATGCTAAGAAGAGAGGGGCATGTACATATAAGGCCAGGGACCAATCCCTACCCCGTTGATGTAGGATACTACAATCCACCCCTTTTAGGGAGACCGACATCCTCGTCAGCACATCTGAATGGACAGTGAGTCTGGCTTTGATACCAAATTGTCACATCCCGACTCCGCCGTAGCACGATATTGTCCGCCTTGGGCCACGCCCTCCCAAATTTGTTCTTGGATTTCCACCCAAAACATGTCATTCTAGGAAGAAAGGGGCATGTACATATAAGGCCAAGGACCAACCCCCACCCCGCTGATGTGGGATACTACACCTTTAGTTTACCTATCTTGCTTGATCACAACAACATAAGAGAAAATCGAACTTTGTATTGCTTGTTTTCCAAATCTCTTTATTTTGGGTTCCAAATTTAAGAATGTCTCACTTTTTCGTTATCATCCATCCAACCAAAAAAATAAATAAAGTCAAGTCAATATCTCTTTTTATTGATTTTTAATTTTTCCTCCCACTTCTATTATTTTACTATCGTTTTTAATAATTTAATAAAATTTGGAAATTGGGGATTGGCCTGGATTATTGTTCTAACGGGAATTAGCTCTTTGTAATTGCTCTGAGCATGAAGAAAGTAGTCTACTTGTTGATGGCTAATCTAGATGGTTTGGTTCTTTTTTAATGTTTTTTTACTGATATAGAGAGTAAAACTACTATTGTTATCTGTGACAACCGGTTCCAAATTTTACGTTTTTATTTTATTTTAAAAGTGTGAATTTACGAAAATGCCATAGAGGCAAAGATTTTGACTTATGTTGACCATCGTCTAGAGAGACGTATGACTTATTCTTTTAACATATTCTCGTAGTACTCGTGGATGTGAACGCATAGGCGAAAGCCGTTTGCGAGTCCGGATTATAACGGTATAGTTATAGACGTTTGAAAATGGCTATTTAAAGTTTAGTTATAAATTATTTGAATTCCCACCTTGTGGGAAAGTGGCCACTCTGATTTTAGACACTAATAGGAAGGAACCAATTAAATTAGAGGGAGAGGGTGAGACCCAATCAGAAATAGAAAGAAGAAAAAAAAAAAAAAAATCCCAGCTTTCCCGTGGGTTTTTCCAACTCACGACCACCCATTTTTCAAGGTCGATTCCGGCCAACTACGGTGGAGTTTTTCGATGCCACCACCACCATCTTGAAGCTCTCATTCCCCTCTACAAAACCCACCCAAGAACCACCTTGATTAACCATGGGAAAGCAAGGTTCGAAATGAGACAAAAGCCTAAAGACAAATGAAAGTTTTGAACCAGTGAGCAATAGACGATCAATATTCAACCACAAACCAATGAGCAATAAATGATCAATTTTTAACCATTGTTTCTACGTTGCAGGAAACTGCTCATAGTCGAGTACTACCGATCATATTTTGAAAATTTTAACTTTGCAATATCCACGATATTATGTGTGGTTGCATATAAATGGAGAAATTTTTCAATGTGACCGGAATACGAGTTGGTACATCATGTGGCACTATACAAATTGTGAGATATGTGTGCTAAAAAGTTAATAACTTAAAAAATACAATTTCCCATCACTTATATAAAAACACGTGATGTATCACCCGTGTTCCAGAATTTACATTAAGAATAGAGAAAATAATATTTAATAAACAACTAATTTAATCACATTATTGTTAGCCCATTGTAAATTTAAGCCTACCCCCTCCCCCTTTTGTCACATCCTGACTCCGCTGTAGCACGATATTGTCTGCTTTGGACCACGCCCTCACAGATTTGTTCTTGGGTTTCCACCCAAAACACGTCATGCTAAGAAGAGAGGGGCATGTACATATAAGGCCAGGGACCAATCCCCACCCCGCCGATGTGGGATACTACAATCCACAAGACGACCAAAATATATAGGCTCAAGTGCATAATATGGGCTAAAACTTTTGCGGCTTGAAGATTTTTGGGCTTAGTTAGAGCATCTCTTCAAGAGAAACTCTAAATTTTTGCTAAACTAAGTGAGCAGTATAAAACACTATTTTAGCTACTCAACTTAATTTTTCATCTCCAACAACACTATTTTAACAAACTTCAAATATTTTATTATTAAAAATTCAAACTCAACCCACTCATTTTGTAAAACAATATTCCCTCTTCATTTTCTCCTTGCTCAAGGGTCTACCCTCCAATGTTATTTTTTTTTACATATAGAAACTGAATAGCTGAACTCTAAATTTAATGAGTGACCGTTCATTTTGCTCTTTAAAACAGAGTTTTTAGAGTGTTGATTGTTTTACAACAAAAAATACAAAATTCCAATTTTCCTGTTAGTGTGGTGGTACAAAAAATATAGAAAATAAATTTAAAAGGGTAGATCAGTAAAATTGGTTTGTGGTTGTTGAAAGGTTCCAATTTTCCGGAGTGGTTGTGGAAAGGTTCCAACTTGCAAATAATTGCAAGTGAACACAACACTTTTCAGGAAGGGATGGAAAATGGGTTTGTGGTACGTGAATTCCTTGTCCCCAAAGAAAGAAAAAAAATAAATTGTAAGTTATTTCTGAAATCATAAGAACAACAACAAGACATTAGTATAACGAATGCAATAATAAAATCAACATGAAAAGGAAATAAACTTATCTGTAGTAGAGGAAGACATGATGGTAGGGTTCCAGGAAGGGTCTTCTCCACTCAAACAGTCGTTAGTTCCTTTGCTAGTGAATAGGGTTTAGCACGAAAGAAGGTTAATTACTGTGAGTGCAACGACCTCCTAATATACTGATAATTATCCATGTAATCCAGCCTATCAACTAATTACATGGGATATTCCATATCAATTGGGGTATCATAATAGTCCTAAATGGTAACAAATTCTTTGTCAACTAATTAAGGTTTTCATGATTAATTGCACTAAATAAGGACTCCTAAACCTAACCAAATAAGGCTCCATAATTTTCTCAACTATTAACTCGGATTGACCAAGTTACTTGTATGTCAAGAAACGACGAGTACATGTCATTTGACACTCACAACTTACATTCTCCCACTTGAGTGTCCAAGGACATGATACTTACTTGGTTAGGTGGTAAGTGATCACTGAGTCCCACAAAATTTGCAACTATACCTTTAACAACTTGTCACCAGTAGTTTAAATATTGGATTATAGAAAATAACATGTAATTGCTTTTACATGTTTACTCTATTACCACGAATATCAAATTACGGGCACAATGTTGCCTGACATCATTCATTAAATTCATGTTGATAAGCAAAAGATCAACTCTTGAACTGAGCCTCATGCAAGCATGGCTCATATTTTTCTATCAATTTATAATGTGATAAGAGGACAAGTAAATACTACATACTCAAAATTAGGACCTAACTTATGAACAAAACCTAAACAAAAACTCTTAAAATATCAGCCACTAACACTTCAAATTTTTTAACACAAAAGGTAATCTCTTACTCCCACTAATTAATAGAAATAAAATTATATAAACAAATTATTACTCCCACTGACTAAGAGAGTAAAAAAAAAATCTTTATAAATGTCTAAAAAAATGAAACAAATACCTTTCAAATACTCCCATTAGCAAAACATAGATCATGGGATCTAGAACATAACATTTGTGAGCTCAACATCTTTATTCTAGATATCTGTAGGGAAGTGACTCTTGTGACTGAAAAAATATACAAAATCATTTGGTCAGTTTTGTTCATCTAACATTTGACAGAAATAGAAAACTTTAACGAAACGTTTTTAACAAAAACATATAATTCCAAAATCATCTTTGGACAGAATCTGATTATATTAGGTTTTCATAGCTAAAACATAAAATACAAGGGCAAACGTATATAGTTTCAACACTTTTGAGCAGATGAAGTATATACAATCTTATCAATTCCATGATTAACCGTTCATTGATTTATAGTTGGACTGAATAAGAAAACTCTTTTGAGCAGAATATACTCATTAACCCTTCTTGAATTTCCTGCAAGATTAGTTGCATATATAACAAATAAAATATAAACAAGTACGATAATGTACGTTTTATCTAACAAAACCATGACCATTAAAAACAAACAAAATTGATGAGTGTAAAGCCCATAATACATTATTTCTCCCACTTGGGCAAACACTCAAAATTGCAAGTTAAAACACTAGAGAAAGTGGTTTTCATATAACAAAATATAGGCTAGTTGAATCAATAAAGATCAAATACATATTTTGATTTATTTTATTTTATTTTATTTTTTTAAAGTAGGTTAGAATTAAAAGTTCCATAAAAAAGTATGCAATGACTACAAATTTTATTTTATTTTAGTATGTGAGAGAAGACCCACATGTGTTAAAGGTTAGGTCATAAATTAAAATGAAACCTAATAAGAGAATCCAAACTCAAAGTTATGTCTTAATTCTAAAACAAAGTCGATTAAAGTAAACACATAGATATCTCAACAACATAATTTTAATCCAATTTAGAATTCACAGAAAATTAAGGCAAAAGATTGGAAAATTTACCTACTCATTCTCGATTCTGCAAGATTCATAATGGAAGTAATCAAGTTGTGGAAGATCGAACCAACTCCAAATTGCATGATTGTTACACCTTTGGG